AAAATATAAAATTTAGTTTAGCCTATGCAAATTCTAAAAATAAATGGACTAACTGAATGAATTACCTTTTTAATTATTTTTTAACATGCAATACAAAAGGTTACATTTTTTACGTCAGCAGTTTTTTGCTGACCTCTTAGGTTGGCAGTTACATCAGCATTGTCATAATTCTGATTGTGTACATTTAATGACTCAACCAAAACTAAAGTAATTGAATAAATAAAATTTATAAAAAACAAATATACAAAAAATAAATTAATATATAAATAGAAAATTATCTAATAATTCAATTTGTTTAACATAAAAACAATATTTTCATTATTAAACTTATTTGTTTATGTTTTAATTGAAAAGTTTTTTTTTTATAGTTAGTTGCTCTCTCGCTTGGAGTTATTTCATTTTAATTTTTTATATTTCATATAAATTGCAAGAGAAGTTAACTTTTTTAAAAATAGAATGAGTTAAGAAAAAAAAAGGTTATTAATTAATCATTTAAATAAAACTATATAAAAATATACAAAGTATAGAGAAAAAAGAAAAATTTTGGTAATGTGCTGTTGTTTTTTTTTTTAGAAAAAAGTTAGTAAAAATATAAAATTGTTGGAAACAAAAATTGTAAAAAAAAAAAAAAGAAGTTGATTATAGTTTTTTATCTGATTTATTTTCTTAATACTTTGCAAAAAAAAAAATTTTTGAAATTTTATCCTAATCAATATAGTTTTTAATTTGTTTTATTATTCTCATTTTTTTCTTCTTTAGTTATGCATACTTTCACATTTTGAAAAATTTCCTAAAAAGACAAAAAAATTTTTTTTTTTCTTTGTCATTATAAGTCCAACTCACTAGTTTATGTATATACTCTTTCTTATTACTATTTTAGTATTGTTTCATTAATTTTTAATTTGCTTAATTACCTTTTGTATGTGTGTTTTTATACATGAATAAAAATGATTTTAAAAATTAAATCTTACAATCTTATGTATTAAAGTATTATTCTCATTTTTCAGCCCAATCAAATCAAACCACACTACCTAACAATTTTTTTCGCAATAAAACAAAAAATGATATTCCATTAAATCCAGTGCCAGCAAATATATCAACACCAAAGTTTCAAAATGCTCAACAAAATCTTTCAGTGCAGTTCAAAGGACAGAAAAATAGGAAAGGTCAAAATTTGATTTCACGAATTCGCAATCAAAATTTTGGGTCAGAAGATGATGATGAATATACAGAAAGAATGGCAAAGGCTTTACATGATAGTAAGAAAATTTTTAATGTTTAAATTTGTTTACTTTCTTATTATCATCATCAGCATCATCATCATCATCATCATCATCATCATCATCATCATCATCATCATCATCATCATCATCATCATCATCATAATCATTGTCATTATCATCATTATCATCATTATCATCATCATCATCATAATCATTGTCATTATCATCATTATCATCATCATCATCATCATAATAATAATAATAGTAATAATAATAATAACTAGCAAAAGGCAACCCGTAATACGGGTTTTGGTCGGTCTGTTACATAATTAATTTATAGTAGCTGTTTTCCACAATTTAATCTTGCAAAACCTTAACTAATACCCTTATAGAAAATTGCCTTCAGCTTGAAAAAATTAATCCATCTGTAAAATTAACATAAAAATTATGAGGAGGTAAAATAATTTACCAACTACTACTTAACATTATTAAGTAATTTACAAATGGCACAGGTCATAACAGTGTAAGGCAGAACCATTTTCATCGACCTTCCTAAGTTTAACACAATACGTTTTTAGTTACTGACGCAAAATAATAACACTTGGTTATACTTTAAATTGACGAAAGTGTCAACTAAATCCTTAAAATAATTTTTATAACACGAACCATTAAGATTAAAATGAAGTTAACTTATATTATACAGGAGTTATCAATTTTTTGTTATCCCCTTGATTAATTGTTCTTTAGAAAAGAAAATTGTTAACTTAAAAATATTAAATGCACACGTTTAAATAAATTTATAAAAAATAACAAAGTTTATTATACTACGCAACTGAGTACAAATACCTTTCAAACAAAAGAAAGTTTAATTTACGATCAAACATAGGTATAACAAATTTTTTAATACATAAATGCATCATAGAACAAACTAAAATAAAAATTATAAGAGATAAGTAGACATAAAAATTTGTAAACCAAGCTGACCCGACCCGGGTCTTGTTAAGTCTGTTCAACACAGACCATTTGTATATTATTTATTTGGTCTCTTTATTTCATAAAATTTTTAGTAAACGGTAATTTGCCACCATTAACTAAAAATTCCTTTTGTAACTCGAAATTTAATTTTTCTAAATATTTTGGCTCTAATAAAGAGGTTCCTTCCCTCTTTTTGCTTTAATGGTGGCCTGGTGAATAAAATAAAATATTAAAATGTAAAACAATGATCTACTTATATAAAAATGTTTTCTTTCTTTCCTCAAAAGTGTTGCAAATACAGACTAAGCTAACTAATTAGTTAAACACATAAATAAAACTTAAGTAACTCGATATTAATGCGCAAAACTACAATATTCTCCATATTTTTAAAGGTTTTTAGTTACGACCGCCCATTCAACCTATACGACCCCCCAATCAATTCTCTCTCTACAATTCTCAATACTAATTCTTATTTAAGTCTCATCTAATAGAGAGAGGAAGTGTTTTAAAAACACCATGTTAGAAAAAGTAAAAAAGTCATGCAATAAATAACAGTAACTGGTTTTATTATGCTACCAATAAACAAAATTATTTTTACCTTAACTAAAAGTTAATTTCCAGCATTTCTTAATTTATTTCCAGCTTCTAACTGTTGACAAATGATTAATATTGTAAATTTCACATCATATTAAATTTACAAAATTAAAACCATGTTTCAACAGTAAGCAAAATAATCAAGTGATGACAAAGACAACTAAAAAAAAAATGAACAATTATATTAAGATTACAAAAGTTAAAAAAAAAAAAAAAAAAAAAAAAAAAAAAAAAAAATAAATAAATCATTTAAAACTGAAATTTTTATTATTTGTTACTATAAATAGTAAAATTCATACTATGCTTTATTTTAAAGTGTCTAATGTAAAGTCAAATAATAGACATCAACAGCGCTTGACACTGAATTCTGCCAAGTAAGTTTTTGGTTCATCAAGCAAAATTTCTTATATTTCAACAACAATTAATTTTATCATGCCTAGATCTATTTCTTTCATATGACAACAATTTCAAGTCAATTATAACCATTTACACTAATAACTTCTTCGAGCCTAATATTATAAATCTGTTATCATTAAATATATATTACCAGTGGTTATGCTACTGTTACAACTGAATAAATGAACGTTTTATATTTTTACAACTGAAAAATATAAAACAAAATTTATTTACATTATTTTAATTTAGCAAAGAATTTAGAACACAGTGCAAAGTTATTTGCATTGTGTTCTAAATTCTTTGCTAAATTAAGAAAGCCTTCAGGCACAATCTTAATGCACAAAAATAATAAATGCAGAATCTTGTATAAAAAATGAAGCAATGTCAGTCTAAAGTAATATATATGTATGTATATATATTCAAATTTTCTCTATTCTTAATTTTTTCTGAGATAATATTCATATAGATTCAGAGAAATATAAAATATTCCGATATATAGGCACATTTAAGTATATAAACTTACCTGTCAAAAATTACAGTCAGTTTTTCATGTTAAATACATAAAATATATATCTAATATAAAATTAAACAAAAAATTAAACTTACTCAAATCAGTAACAGTTCGACTGTCTAAATATTTTTATTATTAACCCTTCTATTTAAAAAATAAAAACAAATGATTTGAAGTAACTAAAAAGCACTTTAGCTCTTTCCAATTGCACTTAAAAAATAAAATAAATCTTGCTTGCTAAGTTGATTAATTCTTAAGAATCTGATAACAAATAAGTAAAAAACCAAGAACAAACAAACATTTATTTACTAAAACTACTCTATTTAAACAAATTAAAGTATACAGAGAACAACATTGATACTCCTTGAAAGCTGAAAAACTTTTTATCTCAAATTTGCTTGTAGACCTTGCTTATGAAACCACTTGAATAAGAAAAGCATCAAAAAAGCCTAGAAGCTGGTATATGCTACATTGAATTTTAAATGTTGATTGGTGTAGATATTTTTAAAAAATTCAAAATGATTTGTTCTTCTATAGCAAATAAATACACCATAAATCTGAAGTTAAAAATGTAATGAATAAGTAAATACAAAGAAAAACATCATATGTGAATTAAAAATCAATGTACCTGATAGAGATAAGCTGCGGTGATACCTGAGTAGTATCACCACATACACGTATTTATCAAAAAAATTTTAACTTTGATCATAATATAAATGCAAACATATATGCAAACTTTTAACAACTATAAAAGAACATTTATTAGCATCAATTATTTTTAATGTAACAAAGAATGCAGACTACAATGCACGACATTGTTAATAAAAATGAAGTTATGTCAGTCAGTATATATTTATCTAAAGTAGTGAAAAAGAATAAACCATTTAAAAACAAAATTAAAAATTTTTAATGAATATATATTTAGATACCTTAAAATGAAGCATAACACAACACTCTTTTGACAAATTCCAGAGCAAATTTTTAAAATTTTTCTATTCCTTATTATTTTATTCCTTATATCGATAAAATACATATTAAATGCCACATTCAACTAATGTAATTAATACCTTTATTAGATCTCTCTTGATTAACTAAAGAATTTAAATTTTAAATAAACTCTAACTAAATTTTAACAAACAAACAACCAAAATAAATCTTCATATTAATAGTACGTTATTAAGTTGATTAATAGATCAAACAATTTAATCTACTCTAATAATCTACTACCTTTTATAATAAACTTTAATTTTTTTTCTACGACTCAGTGTAACTATAATATAGATATTTTTAAAGTAAAAAAGAATTTAATATTATAATATATATGATTTTAAAAACCTGAAATTTTAAATCTACCTCGAAGAAAACAGATATATATTGAAAAGTATTTTTATTTCTTTTTAAAAATTTAAAAATGCTTTATAACTTACTTGTTTCGATATTATCACCAACGTCTAAATAGAAAAACAAACAAACATTCAAGTCGACTCATTTGTAAATCTTATAATATATATGATTTAAAAAACCTGAAATTTTAAATCTACCTCGAAGAAAACAGATATATAATAAAAAGTATTTTTATTTCTTTTTAAAAATTTTAAAATGCTTTATAACTTACCTGTTTCATATTATTACCAACGTCTAAATAGAAAAACAAAGATATATGAGTTATATATAGGATTTTAAAATATATATGATTTTAAAAAACTGAAACTTTAAATCTACCTCAAAGAAAACAAAGAAAAAATTTCTTTTTAAAAATTTAAAAATGCTTTTTAACTTACTTGCTTCAATATTGTCATCATCTAAATAGAAAAACAAACAAACATTTAAGTCGACTTATTCTTAAATCTAGTTTAATTTCTTCAATAATAAAAAAAATTTAATCTTTGAGGATTAAATTCATTTACAAAAATCCGTTTAAACCATTTTAACATTGTAAAATTAATTTAAAGTTTTAAAAAACTGAAACTTTAATTCTACCTCAAAGAAAACAGATATATATTGAAAAGTATTTTTATTTCTTTTTAAAAATTTAAAAAGACTTCTAAACTTACTCCCTCCATTATAATTATATAATATATATAGTATATATGATAAATAAACCTCCACAATTTCCTTGGTTTAATAACTCGATTATGATTTATAACAACTCTGTAAACATGAATTTTCTAATAACCTAAATAAATTACAGATAGACAAACATAAACTAACACAATTAAATCCTAAACCAAAATTCATTCATGCAAGACAAATAATTTTATATTTATTGAAGAGCCAGAAACATATTTTTTTTCAAAGAGCTAAAGTATTAACAATATTAAAGACAAATTTTATTTATAACAAAATTTTCAATAAAAATTAAATTAAGATAAATTTATAACAAAATGTTGTCATGGCTTTTATCCCAATAACCAAAACTAAGTGAAAGCATGAAACTACCCATAAATATATTTTAACGCTAGACACAAATTAAGAATTAAAGTAATCTATAACACGAAGCTTTAAATTTAAAATTACAATTTAAAAAAGATTACAATAAATTAATTACTTTTAAATTTAAAAAAAAATTTAGATTACCTATAATTTTAAGCTACTAAACATTATCTACTTAATGTCAACTTAGATATTTTGAACTCGTACCATGAAAGGTTGAAGGGAAATCTGTAAGTAAGCACGCGGTAAAGAAAAGTCTAGAAACTACTTAAAAAGTGTATTTTACAGATACAGAACCGTACCGTAACTATAAAACAATACGCGTAACTATGCGCTTTAATATTCATAGGCTATTAATTATAGGCGATGATAATTGTTAATGATGTCAAGTAACAGTAACTGATCACTAACAGTAAATCCTCAATAACAGTGGCTAACAGTTAATCATCACTCAAAGTAAGACATCGCTAACTCCATTTTACATTAAATCATTATTAGCTGTAGTAAATGTATCCATATTTATATATATATATATATATATATATATATATATATATATATATATATATATATATATATATATATATATATATATATTTGTGCTAACTAATTTAGTATAGTAAAAGTAATATTTACACACATACATACACACACACAGATATATATATATATATATATATATATATATATATATATATATAGGAAACAGTTCTTATGAGATTTGTCCTGATTGTGGTGAATATCACTCACAGAATGAGGATGATGATGATGATGATGTATGTCCTGACTGTGGTGTGCGTCATAATCCATACCAGCATTCTCCCATAAAAAATGGCGTTCAGGTATTTTAATCTTGTATAAAGTAATAAACATCAAAATCATTTTATTGTTTATAGTTTTTCATCAAAGCTATAATAGCTTTTGAGTAAAATAAAAAGGTTTTGGCCTGGCTGGTTAAATAACAAATGAGTCAATAATTATGTGCTAATATTTTAAAATGTTTAACAAAAAATAAAAAAACAGTTTATAAATTTTCATTTAGGTTTTTTATATTAAGTTATAGATTACAGAATTATTAAATGCTGTAAACATTAATTTTAAAATCCAAATTAGCAATTATTCAAAATGGGAAAATCAAAATTAATGATGACCAGAAACATGGCAGGATGTATGAATCCTATTGCCTTACTGGTCTTATTTTAATTTCATTTTTAACATTAACATAAAAATTTTGAATATTCACAAAGAAACTCTTAACAGGTCATTGTCACTATTTTTCATTTTTCAAAATATATTAAGTATAAATTTTTGACACTTCTATTTTACACCACTTTTGCACACCCTCTCTTATCATAAAAAAATATTATTGATGCATTTTGTTAATATTTGATTAAGCCCAATTAAAATCTTTAAACAAAAAAAGTATTTTGAGTTAATTATACCACTGCCAGCCATTATTAGCCTATAATAGGCATTATTGTACAGTGATTCAGAAACACTTAAAATTTGGTAAAAATATAGTTTTTTGAGCAGTGCAATTTAAATAATGTTATAAGCTAACTTTTTTCTATAGTTTCTTATGATTTCAATTTGTATAAAAAAAGTAAGAACTGAAATAATAGATTTAAATGTTAATATATGATTGTGACTGAAAACAGCTTTTTTTTTATCATTAAAATTTTATTAGTTTCTATTACATAAAAAGATAATGGATAATTCTATTTTAATTTATAAAAATATTTGAATATGTATTTATACAAGTTGTAAGTATTGGATTTAAATACACTTATGATGAGTTTATCTTATCTAATATATTAAGTTCAAGGAGAAGTTAGTGCTATTGTATGCATTTTTCTTTTGACAATGATAGTTAGAAAGAATCAAGTTTATTTAGTAACATTTTTGTTCCTTTAAATCTTTCATTTGGAAGCATTTCTGTTCGAACAAATCCAAAGCCATTGTCAATTAGATTTTGTTGACCAATACAAATTTAATATGTAAAGGAAACAGAAGCAAATTTTGAGATTTGAAAAAAAATATATTTAAAAGCAAATAAATTTATCAGAGGTTTCAGAGTAATAAAAAATGAGAGTATTTAGAGTAATGTTAAATTTTATAAATGTTAAATTAGAGTAATTCATAAATGGTTTAGAAGTAATTGTAACAAAAGTTAAGTTTGATTTAAAATTAACAATGATTGATGGTAAAGTAGTTGATGCAATTTGCTCAATTTCTTCACAACAAGTTTGCAATATAAGTTTGCATATTCTTCTGAATACAATTCATTTGGATTATATTCAGAAGAAGCTTAAGAATCTAGAAATAATGATAATAAACAATTTAGACTTCAGCATTCAAGAAAAAAAAAATTTACCCCCTTCCTAACCATATTTGATTTTTAATCCTTTTAATCCTTTCCTTGTCTCCTTTTTTACATTACAGAGCAAGTTTACAGCAATTTTTAATAAATATTGTCAACAAAATTAATTTTGGCCTTATTTTAAGTTATTCCTGATCACTGTGTATTGGCCAACTCTAATGAAAAGTTAATATCGTAAAATTAATAACACAATAACCTTTTTTCTGCAGAAAAGATTGGATGACAAAAATTGCATTAAAACTAACATTAGATCTGGTAATCGTTATCAGCAAATAATGAGTGAACAGGTACTAACTTACTAATTAATCTTTTTTTAATCATTTTTTGAGAGAACCTATTACGCTAATGAATGTTTTCTATTAATTCCTTATAATTTTTAAAATTATTTGTTTCTTTATTGTGTTTTTGTGTTTATTTTTATCTTATTTATATTATTTTTATCTGGGTTAGAAAAGAATTCGAATTGTTTTTTTAAATTTCAGTTAGTAATGTAATACTCTATAATATATTGAGTAATTTGTCTTATATCATGCATTTATGTTTTATATATATATTACTGGTTTAAATAATTATTCATTTTTCTTTTTTTACTAAGGATATTAGACCCTTAAATCCAACATTTCCCTTTCCTTATCAACATCAAGATGAACTTTCATTTACCTAATAGAAAATCAGGAATAGGATGTCATTGCACACAATTCCTGATCAAGACGAGAATATATGATTGGTAGAAAAAACATTGTTTCCAGAATGCAGATTATTATTCAAATTTCGTTTTGTTTTTAAAACTACTTCATAATTGCAATAAATATAAAAATAATGATACAACAGATTTAATTTTATATAAAAGAAAAACATTTATATAAAAAAAAAAAGCTTTTTGCAAATTATTGTCTAAAAAACAAAAGCAAGAAGTTTAAATTACTTTGTACTGTAAGGTCAAAATTAATTATTTTTTCTTTCAATTCATTTTAAAGTTAAAACTTTAAAATTTATTTAAAAATGAGAACTTATTTTGAGAGAAGATTTTTTGCACGATTGACATTATATGTGCTAAAATAGATATATAAGATGCTAAAAATTATATGCCTAAATGCCAAAAGCATGATAAAGCCATGTCTAAAGTTAATAAAGGGTTAGGTTATTGTCATAGATTAAAAGACAAAAGGATTATTGATAGTTTCAAATGTTGAAGGGGAAAAAAAGTAGTTGAGTAAATTGTAAATAGAATAATTTCAATAAAGAGTAAAATAAACACTTTATAATAAGGTAGTTTTGAAGCTTTAAAAATAATACATTTTCAGAATTACAAATTCAATCCTAATGTGCTTTATCTTACTTCTAAGATCCCTAAACTATGTGAGCTTGTTCAATTCTTGAATTGCTAGTTTGTCTGGAATCTTTAACACAAAAACCTACCTCTTACCTTCAACAATTTTTTCCCAAAAAATGCAAATAACCATTACTATCTTCGATCAATTTTGATAAACTGAATCTTGCAGTCTTAAAATATCGTTCTGTTACTTATAGATATAAGTCCATAAAAAACCAAAGTATAAAATCTTGGAATAAACTTCCCTATGACCTAAAAGTTCTCCATTCAATCTATATTTTTAAGAGTAACCTATTTCATTCTTTCCTAATCAAATTCAGTTAATAAATCCAAAGATATGTATTTGTGTTTAAGTGTTTGTGATATGCGCATGTGAATAAGTGGTAAGTGTATGTGTATGTATGTGTATATGTATGCATGTATGTGTATGTTTGTATATATTTAATACATATATATGTGAGTTTGTGTGTGAATGTGTATATATATATATATATATATATATATATATATATATATATATATATATATATATATATATATATATATATATATATATATATGTGTGTGTGTATGTGTATGTATGCGAATATGTGTTGGTGTATATAATTTATACATATATAATATTATTAAATGTTTGTATATGTATTTATGTTTGTATATGTGTATGTATGTGTGTTATTTTAGCACTTTTCTTCATATCCTGTAACTTCAGGGGTTCCTCAAGATTCTATCCTTGGCCCCATACTTTTTTTAATTTACATATACCATCTTCCAGAGATTCTTGCATCTAAGGTGGCATTGTTTACTGTTGATACTACATTTATTCGTGTCTTGATAAAAAGCCAACACTCTCTGATTGCTTGGAGGGAACATTAGAGCTTGAAAAGGATCTCACTTTTGCTACAGAACAAGGTTCTCAGTGGCTGGTGAACTTTAACTTCAGATAAAACTCAATTTTTTTAAGCTATCGTTATTGCAACAATCTAGATCTTCCAATATTTATGAACGGTAATGTGTTCGATGAGTCATCTACCCTTCATCTTCTAGAATTACCTCTTACTTCCAATCCTTCTCGGAAACCATATGTCAAATTGATTAAATGAAAAATTAGCATCTGCTAAAGTTTCATCTCTTTATTGTGCTTGTCACTTTCTTACTCTGGATTCTATTCTTTATCTCTATAAATCTCAAATCTGTCTTTGTATGGAATACTATTGCCATATCTGGAGCAGATCTTCAAATAATGCCCTTTTTTCTTTTAAATAGGTTGCAAAACCACATTGTTAAAATTGTTGGACCTGTTCTTGCAGCCAACCTTCAATCATTGTCACATCATCGTAATATTGTTTCTCTTTCTTTTTTCTATAGATACTATAATGGGTGCTGTTCTAAAGAGCTAGTGTCTCTTGTGTTATCTACTAAAATTCATTCTCCTATTACTCGTCATTCATTTAAGTCTCATCTATTTACTGTGATTGTTTCTAAGTGCTCTAAAAAATTTTATTCGTTTAGCTTTTTTTCTTTGGAATACGCTTCCTTCTTGTTTTCATATTTCATATAACTTGCAATCTTTTAAGTTGACTGTTAATCATTATCTTGCTTTATAAACTTCATCTTTTCTCTTCCAGTAACTTCCAACTCTAATAGTGGTTGCTTGCAGCCTTGTTGGAGTTACCTTGTATCATATTTTAAAAACATACTATAAAATCAGTATTAAAGTTACATGCATGGCTTGGGTGTACATATTACGCATTAGTTCACCTATTTGTCCAGAAATCAGGTTTGAAACCTCAAACCATTGTTTAATGTGCTTTTGCTTAGCGCTGCTTCACTTTATCACCTTTTTACTTTTTTATTCTTCTCCTTTTTCTTAAGACTGCACTCTTTTAGATCAAGCCCTTTCTATTTACCTCTCTGACAATAGTGTTTTTATTGGTGGCTCTTACCCTGCTGGCACTAAAGCTCATAACTTCTCAATTTCTCTGACACAGATAGTTAACTTCATGACTCATTTTCCAGACAATCCTTTTTTCTAATAAGACAGAAAACATGCTGAAATAATTGCAGATAAGTTGGTTAGTAGTTTGATGGAAATAAATTTAGGAAAGCAATTAAAGTTGGTTAGTAGTTTGATGGAAATAAATTTAGGAAAGCAATTAAAGTTGTTTAGTAGTTTGATGGAAATAAATTTAGGAATTAAAGTTGGAGATTGCATAGTTTAAGCATATATAAAAAAGTAATTTTTAAAACATACTAAAATCTACAGTTCAATAAGTTAAATGTTGCTTAACCTGCTTAGCACACATTCGTAGAATTTGATACTCTAGAACAATGTTAACTAAACATTGTTCTAAAGTATTAAACAAAATTACTTACTTTACTCATTGATTTGTGTCTTATTTTTGACCCTGGCTTGTGTTCAGTTTCTCTTTGTTCTCCTTTAGATGTCTTTTTATGATTTTCTTTGTCAAGGTCCTTTTTCTGATAACTGCACCTTCTATTTATGGATCCAGGCAGATATAGATGCTTTTATTCTTCTCGTCAGTTCTCAGTCAAGCCTCATTCTACTTCATGGTTTTCCCCTTCATATGCAGCTGCTATATCTAATCATAATCATTTTTTTATCTTTTATAAAAGAACTCTTTTTTATCTTATAAAAGCTTTCTTGAGAACAAACAGCTAAATCAATGTAAATGAGAGCAATGTAAATGTAAATGCCTTATGGTAAGTATCATTATTTCCAGTTTACTAAATATTGTATTTTATCTCTAAAGTTAGGCTCTAAAAACTTTTGGGATGTTTTTAATAGTCTCATTAACAAAGGTAAATAGAACATTCTATCTCTAATTCATGGATCTGATCTTATTAACTCTTCCAAGGATAAGGGTTAAATATTTGCAAAAAACTTTTCTTTTTATTTAATTCTTGAAACTAATAGCCATACTCTTTCAGCCATTCCAGTTAAACAAGTTAATCTATTGTTAGACATCCAAATCACTCCGGCTTCTGTTGCTAAAGTCAAGTTTTAACTCTTTATGGCTTGTGGTCCAGGCAACATTTTTGTCATAGTCTTACAAAAGTGTTCTCCAAAACTCTCTTCAATTCTCTCTAATTTAATCAGTGCTTGACTGATTCTTGTTTTCCTGTCTGTTGAAAAATGATATCTTAGGTTCCAATTTTTAAAAAACTCTGGAGAACACTCTAACTACTCCAACTAGTGTAAGATGCCCTCTAATTATTGTCCAATCAGTCTTCTCTCTATTATTAGCAGGTCTTTGACCCTTTTGATCAGTCTTTTTTCTGTTATCAGATAGGTCTTTGAGTCTTTGATCAACAAATTTCAAACATCCCATTTTTTTGGTTTTCGATCTACGGCTACAATACGGCTCTACGGCTGACTATTACTCGATCAGTCTTCTCTCTGTTATTAGCATGATCTTTGATCAATAAATCTCTAACTTCCCATTTCGATTCTTATAATTTACTGTCTAATAATCAATATGGTTTGCAATCTTTTTGTTCTAAGATTGACTTGCTGTGACTGAAAGATTCTAACGTGCTTTAAATGGAGGCAAAAAGACAAGGACTACTCTTGACATGTCTAAATCTTTTAATAAAGTTTGGCATGCTGGTCTTCTCCATAAGTTTGCTTCATATGATGTACCTAAAAAAGTTTTTGGAATTATCAAGTCATTTTTTTAAATAGCTTTATTAAAGTCATCCTCGAAGGTTAACACTCTTCTTCATTAGTAATTTTTCAGATAGTTCAGACAGATCATACAACCTATTAACTGTTTTCTTTTATTCTTATTTTTTTAGTAACTTCTAACTTAATAGTGGTTGCTTGCAGCATTGTTGGTAGTGAACTAGATTTTAAAAAAAAGAAAAAATAACATATTATTTAATCTTTATTAATTTAATATTACAGTTTAATATTTGGATATTTTAATTTCAAAGTCTTCTAAATTTTTAATTTCATTTTTTTCAACAATAAAGTAGAAAGTTATTAGGGAAAGGAAAATAAGAAAAATTGTATTCCAGATTTTTTTCTTTCGATGTTTGCGAAAATTTTTTTAAACATTTTTTCTGGATATTTTTGAAAAAATTTTTCTGGATTTTTAAATTGTCATCTGAATCATTCTGTTAATAACAATGTTATTTTACTATTATATAAATAATTTAATATAATATATAATAACGTATATTATTATTTTAACAAATAATATTTAATGATATTTATATAATTTAACATATATTTTAAGTTGCTCAGCAATGGTTTTATATTTTTATATTTCTGGTTTTAATTTTTTTAAATTTGTTCATTTATATTCTAATAAGTATTTTTTTTTAATTTTAACATGCATTTTATTTTAGCATCCTAGAGATGAAATGGAGGACAATTTACCTAGTAAGTTTTACATGACCACATAATTTAAATCTAAAATATGTCATCATTAGATAAATACTTCCATTATAATATTTCTAAAAATTGATTATGTAAATCATAAAATTGATTACTGCACATAGTAAATCTATTTTATATTCTTTTTAATTTTGTTTCCATTTTCTTAAAAAAACTGCTTATCATCTGGTAAGTAAAAAAAAATGCTCAGAAGATTTAACAGTATTAGGTAATCTAAAATGCTAGAAAATTTGTGAGGCTAGCCAGATACAGGATATTTTTAGTGTAATTAACAAATTAACAATATAATTAAATGTATATATATATATATCAGCCCTCGGAATTAGGGTCGTATTCAGCAGCTGCCGACCTCAAATATATACATATATATATATATATATATATATATATATATATATATATATATATATATATATATATATATATATATATATATATATATGTATATATATATATATATATATATATATATATATATATATATATGTTATACATATATATATTATATATATATATATATATTATATATATATATATATATATTATATATATATATATATATTATATATATATATATGCATTTTAAATATATATATATATATATATATATATATATATATATATATATATATATATATATATATATATATATATATATATATATATATATATATATATATATATATGTATATGTATTTGCAATTTTTTGCAAACCTCAAAGTGTTTGAGGTTTGCAAAAAACCTCATTTTTTCTAATTCTGAGGGCTAATATATATATATATATATATATATATATATATATATATATATATATATTAATTAGGTATTGAGGGTCCTTTAAGCATTGAACAACTTTCGTCAGGATATCGATACAAATTAAAGGTATACTATTTATTCTTTAGTTTGTCTGTTTCATTTTATTTAGTTGTGATCTTTTTTAATTTCTTTAATCTTTTTTAATTTCTTTAATCTTTTTAAAGATTAAAGAGAAGTATAAAATATTTTCTTTTATTTATAAGTGCATTATTAAGTATGTTTGCAATAATATCAATAATATTTCACTTGCTAAACGTAATACATGCTGACAAAGTTTTTATTTAAAATTTTTTTTAAATCTTTGGTGGCTTGTCTTATTCATTTTTTTTTACCTAATTTTTTTTTAAACTTTTTTTTTTGCCTTATATTTATTGTACACGATATTTTCCAAAGTTTTTATGTGATTATATGTTAATTTTAAAATTATAGTCATTATAAGTATTTGGTGATTTTTTAATAGCATAACTTTTTTTTTTTTAATTTTTATAAAATCTCCTAATTTTATTTTACAAAAACTGTCAAGTGAATAAAATATTGAAAGTTTTTTCTATTAAATATTTTCTACACATTTTTTGAAACTCACAATTTTTTTAAATATATTTTTAAACAATATTGTTGTTTTAAAGTTGAACCTGTAAAAGTAAATTAATATACCCTAATTAATATAAGTGATATTATATATACCCTATATTAATTATATTATATATATATTAATTATAACATAATAGTTAAGAAATTATTTTATTTTTTCTCAAAACTCCATAATGAAAGCACATTTTTTTTTTTTAACATGGTATTTTTTCATGTTCTTTGCATGCTTCTTTTTGAGAATAGGTAAGCTTCATTGGTATAATAATTTTTTTCTGTTTATATGTCAATGTGTATTTTGTATGCTCTACGAGGTTGATTTAAATAAGGTGGTTATAATTTTTTAAAACCTTTTTCAGTATTTAGGATCTTGTCAAGTTATTACAAAACATCCTGTTACCAAGGAAACAAGACTGCAGCAAGCACAAGATGCATACAAACGAATCAAGGTAATTAATTTTTGTTTATAGATATTGATCATATAATAATAAGTTTATATAATATAATTGTTTATCATTTTCAAGGTGATTACTTATCCTAAATGTCAAATGTCTGGAGGTTTCTGTAATATAAATGGTATTACAGCCAGCAATCTTATGGTGTATATAAAGAAAATTTATATACACCATAAGATCTAAGTAGCTTAGGAAGTAGATTTATTAAACAAAAACTGTTTTGTATTTTATTAGAGTAAACTCTAATGAATTAAAAATATGAAATATCATTTATTCAACTTATTTAAATTTTTTCCTATTGATTTTTTCTATTTATTTTATTTAGATTTTGATTATATTAGTTAGTTATTTACTAAGTCATTTTTTTTGGTTCATTATTTTTTTTCTTTGTTCATAACGGTAGATAGTAGATTCAGAAGTATGAAAATGACAAATACAATAGAGAGTGGCAATCTTAGCAGGTGCTAACTTTGCAATGGACTAGATATATAGTTTTCATGAGATGTAATAGAAAAGATTTACCTGAGAAAGCATAAACAGGGTTCCCACACCTCCTTAAAAACCTTAAATATCCTTAAAAAATAAAAACCTCCTTAAATGTCCTTAAATAACCTTAAAAAAAGTTAAAATTTGACTTCTCTCCTTAATTTCTCCTTATTTTTTTTTTTATTCATCTAGAAAAATTTTTTAAAGTGAATGAATTATACTTGTTAATAAAGAAGATAGTATATAGACTTTCGATATTTTTCAAACCTATTTTTGTTATTATATATATATATATATTAATGTAATCGTTTTCTCCTTAATTATCCTTAATTTTTCTTTCAAAAAAATGTCGTTCGCGACCAAATCTTCTTAAATATTAGGAAAATATCTCCCTAAATCTCCTTAAAATCCTTAATTTTAGCCTCAGTTTTAATAGTGGGATAAAGTAGAGGACTCTAAGTAAGAATGTTGCTATTTATCAGTATAGAAATATTAACGATATAGTGCAAAATATAACGATATATTAGCAGTAAACAAATAAATTTTGTTTGATTTAAAATAAAGTTTTAAATTAAACGGTTTGGATGTCTAACAATGAATTAACCTGTTTCTTGAGTATATCAGGAAGGGTGTGATCATTAGATTCAAGAGATGAGTTGTAGGAAAAGTTTGCAATTAGTTTTGCCTTGGAAAAAGTGATCCATTTAAAATCCATTTTATTTTCTCAAGAAAGTTGAAAATGATGAAAAAAATAATTACATTTTGAAATAGCAGCTGGTCAAGAAGAAAACTTTGAAAAAAAAAAAAAAAAAAATTTTGGAAAACTTTGGGTAGAATGAGAATTGTCTTTAAGCCAATGGGAAAGAATAAAAGCTTCCATACGTGCCTAAATCCGGAAAATTAGATAAGACACTTTTTTAGCAGAGAAACGGAAAACACCAGCCTGAAGGTTTTTGCAAAGAAAATCACAAATGGAATCCCAGACAGCTTTAAGATGGTAGTAAAATATGTGATAATAGAGTGAGTCTGAAAAAGAAATACCATATAAAAGTTTCAAAGAGATTATAGCATCTCTCAAACCAACTAAAGGAACCAGGAAAAAAATGAACACAAGTTAGGGTTAAAGACAAAATACAAATCAATGAGTTTAGCTAAATGATTAGGGTTGTCTTGAAAACAAATCACAAAATTATTATCTAAGTACGAGATTGAGTCATCTTAAGCAGTAAACACAGGCTTACATCTATGACCGCTATCTCTGTTTTTTAATAAAAGTTATTTGATAGCATGTAGAATTAATTGATGTATCAAGAAAAGTTGTTTTTATGTTAACTTAAGTTAAAAGCATAATGAAATTTTACAAATATTTATACTAATATATATAAATTTTATACTAATATTTATAATTAAATAATATCAACAACAAAAAGTGTCGTAATTTTCACATTTTTTTATTTCTATATAAAATTTATGTCCATAATAGTTATAGAGGTAATTTTAAATCAAATAGGCCAAGGTTTGATGCAAATCTCTGCTATAAATAAGAATTTAATGTGAACATTTTTTTTAAAAAAGGCACAAGATGACGATGAAGAAGATGCTAGTACAAACGTTGATATGTGTATATCATTAGAACGAATTAAAATTATCAATAAGGATACAAAGGTAATATCGATTATTATTTGTCTATTTAAGTTGGACAGTGTCCGATCAAATTTTTTTAAATATAATTTTTTACCGTTTTGCGGAACCAAGTTATGCAATCGAAATCTTTTTCATGTTATTCAGTTTATTTAGTTTCTTTCCTTATTATTTAGAATATTTAATCGTAGATTTTTATTTTTTAATAAAGTAGTTAATTTGATATTGTATTTTTTTTAGATTTTTTTTTAGACTTAAATTTTCACGCTGTAACTGACAACGCTTTTTTTTTTTTTCGTTTACAATTTGACAACAGCTGTAGCGATGTTTTAACAATTTAAATGCAATAAAAAAATTTACAAATAACTTTTAATCATTAATCTTTTTTTAAAATTTTTATTTTACGCATTAAATAAAATCAAAAATTAATTATAATGATCGTTTAAAATAAACGCATTATGTGTAAATTAAATGTTTTATTTAATTTTTTTTTAGTAGATATGTAATTTTTATAATAAATTTAAACGTTTAAAACTATTTTTCCAAGTCTTTCTAAAAATCTTATTTTTTTAAGTTACTTTAAACTGTAAATAAGTTAAATTAAAACTTCCAATGATTTAATTGCTTCTTTTATTTAGATTTTATTTACATGTTGTTTTTATTTTTACAAAGAATTGTTTAAAAGTTTTTTTTAAACTTGATTTACTAATTTTAAATAATGAAATGAATAAAATTTACTATTTTAAAAAGACTGTTTTTGGAAAAGATTTTTTAAAAAACAGTCATTTGCGTGGTCCGCAATAGCATTCAATCGTACACCAGCTTTATTTTATAGAATTTAATTCCCGTCGGTCAAAATGTACGGTTACTTTATAGATTGATTGGACAATCTGAGATTTTAGCTTGACAAAGCCTGATGTCCGACCATTAAATTGAGCCCTGTAACTTATCTATAAACATATTTTATCTATAAATGACACCATAGTTTTTTTATTTTCACATTTTATTTTAAACCCAACATTTGCACATAGCATGAAATCAATAAATGAATGTATATTTTTAATGTAATAAAATTATTATATTTTGTTGCGGCAAAACAATGACTGTTACATTTCAAGCATTGCGCTGATATTTGGTAGAGTTGCTATTTCATTCAAAGTTTGTTCATCTATTGTTTGTGTGCATTTTTGGATTTATTACTTTGTTTATTTATTGTGTTGATATACGGTAGAGGTGTTATTTCATCCAAAGTTTGTCCAAGAGCAATATTGTTATTTGGAAAAGTCTTTTGTTATGGAATTTGTTATAATTTTTTTGTTTGTGTGAATTATACTTTGATCCATTGCAGCAAAAAAATTTCTGTTTTTAATGTTTTTATTATTTTATGTAGATCCCTAACCTAGGTTCTCTTCCAAAAAAGTGCAATGTAAGGAGAGTAATATGTCAAAGAAACCTTATAAAATATAAGTCATTCATTTTCATACCAGCTTAAAAATAAATTCAAGCAATCTGTCCAAAAAATCTTACAATTTTTTTGGCGATTAGTAAAATGCCTGAAAATTTTTTTTGGCAATTTATGAAGTGACTGAATGAATCATATAATTTACAAAATGCCTAATTACTACAGACATTTTATAAATTTATGATTTATGTTTTATTACAATCATCAGAGAAGTTTTTAAAAATTATTTGTTTAACAAAAGTTACCACTTATGTTTGTGTTTTTAGATTTTTTCAGATTAGAAATTATTTATTAGTTAGATTTTATACCTTTAGTATTAGTGATAACTAAGGTTTATTAACTAATAATTTTTTTTTGTATTTTTGATGATTTTGTTATTGCAGTTAGTATAGTATGTTAGTATAGTAGTGTAGGATTTAGTTTAATCAGTTTGATTTCATAGATTTTGTAATTTTCATAATCTTTTTTAATGATTTACTGTGCATATTGGTCATGTTACTTGCAAACATTACTTAGTATCAGGCTTGTTGCGTGCACACATTAACTGAATATTGAACTTGTTACTTGTACACATTAACTGAATATTGGGCTTGTTACTTGTACACATTAACTGAATGAGGCTCATTTAAAATGCCAATCTTGGCAGCTTTTTAAAGTTTTCAAATTTTTTTGATTTTATAAAAGTGCCTAGATGTTTTTTTTTTCAGTTTTGTTTTTGATTTTAGGTTGTTTATTAACATGGTCTGTATTTTTGTTTTCATGTTGTTTAATAACATGGTCTGTATTTAGTCAATAATAATTTTTAAGTTGAAGTGAATTTACCATTATAATAATGAATTCGAGTTATGAGTCATGTTTGTTTTTAAAGCAAAATATAATGAAAAAACATTTTTTTTTTTACCTTATTAAATTTTTATATATTATACTACTACAACATTTCATGTAAAATATAACAAATTAAATTCTTTTCTTTTTTTTTTTCAATCTGAAATATTTTTCATTAATTTAAACATATGTGATTATATGTTTAGTTTGAAGATGTAATGATGGACCATGCGTTACGTACAATTTGTTTTATTTGTGATATGGGGAAGATTTTAGTTTTAATGGCACGCCGATTGACAAGTGAGAATTCTACAGACATTAGTTTTGAAGAGGGTCAACCATTGAACTTGGGAAATATAATTGGTGATCGTGAAAAAAAATCATCTAAAAATATATGTCATGTATTTAAGGGAGTAGAAGATGTAAGCATTATATGTTAAACAAGCATAATTGTTTTGCATTACTATATAAATTTGAATTCTAATTATTTTAATTAATTTGAATAATTAATTTTCACTCTGTTGATAATTTATATTTATAATAACTTAGTAATTATAATTATAGTTCATTGTAGTTTTATTATTAATATAATATCAGTCATATTTCATTAGTAGTTATATATTTATTTAATTATAGTAAATTCAATTTTTTTAAATTTAAAATTTTTTTTTTTGTATTAATAAAGACATCAACTATAGCAAAAGCAATTGGTCAAGCATTCAATATTGCATATAGACAATTCTTAAAGAGTTCAGGTATTGCACACGAGCTTGTTGAGGAAGCAGAATACTCTCATGTGCTAGAATCACAAATAATAGTTGGTCAAGATCTTGAAAATCTTACGAATGAATCTGCTGTTAGGGAGGTGAGAAATATTACTATGCAAAAATTTTTAATGTTGTAATAAAATGCTGGTCTTGGTAAATCACTGATGTCTGTGAATCCAACAAACAATTTTTTTTTAATATGGTTTCCTTTTCATTTGTTTGTTTTTTACTTTTTAAGGTCTTGTCACAAAATTTTTTAAAACAAGATCTTTTAATGGGTCTGGGGTAAGCATCTCTAGACCAAAACAAGAGTTCTTTTTTAATGGAAAAAATTGAATAGATATGTGGCCTCAGCTACAAGATCAGTTTCTGTTTTTTATATGTATTAAGCTGTATTTATTTTTATATTAAAAACTTAAGGATTAAATTATTTTGAAAATCAGAAGTGCATTTTAATCTATAATATCCTTTTCTACTTAAACTAAGGTCTATGTTATTTTAATATAATTATTTTTATTAATAATTTATGTTATGCATAATATAATGTTAATTTATGTTATCAATAATATAATTGATTTTATTTTGTATTAATGATATTAGTTAGTTTAATATAGTTAATTGTTATTTAATTATTTTTTTAATTTTTTTTGAAAAATTGAAATAAAAGACTGCAAGCCTATGATAAATAAACTTTGACATAGAATGTAGGACTGTTCCAATTTGTTTTTTTTCTCAAACTCTATGATAAAAGAATCTTTCAAAAGCTTTAAAATATAAGAGTAATGATATTGCAGTGTTGCTCTAACATGCATTGTGTTAGTGCTTTCAGTATTGCATTGTTGAAGCCACGTGAGCTCTTTGTTATGATTTTGAGTTGATTAACAGGAATTTTGACGCCACAAGAGCTCTTTGTTATAACTTTGACTTGATTAACAGGAATGTTGAAGAGCTCTTTGCTTAGAATGTCGAGTACTATTTTTGGTAGGTTCAAGTTCTCTTTAATAATTTCTTTTCATAGTTATACAACATAAGAAACCATCAAATTGTCTCTGAGTAGTTTATACTCAGTATTTTCTTATTCTGCATTAGATACTTTGATCATTTTATGATCTCATTAAACCCTTTATCTTTAGTTATCCTATTACAAATTTTTTTTGTGATTTTTTTTATGATGTTCCTTGGGCTGAAAATTGTGCTTCCTATTAAGGTTTATAATAGTGTTATTGATTCAGGTAGGTATGGAATTTGTTATTCCTTTTTGTTGGTCAAGGTGCTTTGCTCAATAATTTTCTCCTTCTTATGCAGCTGCTAATTCCAATCATGAACATTTTTTGTTTCATTCATTTGAAAATCTCTCCTAAGAACAAATGTCTTTTAATCAGTGGGAGAAGTATAAAAAGGTGTTTTCTAACTTTATGATTCGTTATTTTTTATGCTGGAATTTCGAGTTTGTTGTTCCTATTTTTAAAAAGTCTAAACTCTTGTTGTTCCTATTTAAAAAGTTTAAAACTCTTCTAAACGCCATACAATCATCCAATCAGTGTACTTACTATTATTAGGTTTGAGTCTTTGATTAACGAACTGCTAATAGTTTTTGAGTCTGACAACTTACCTTTTGACAATCAACATAGATTTCAATCCTCTTGTTGTACCATTAGTATGTTAACTTTAATCAGAAAAGTTCTATTGTGCATTAGATAATATTGTTGAGACTGTTTCTTCTGATGCATTAAAGGTATTTGATCTAAATGGCATGACATGCGTGAAGTAAAGTCTACAATATAAATGTGTTTTATATAAAGTATGAGTTAACTAAACATTGGAACTTTAAAATTAAGATTTCACTGTTAAGTTAAGAGTTAAGATAAAGTTTAACATCCTTTACTTGATCTAGAGTAGATAACTCAAACCTTCTTTACAACTGTTACACATTAACTTAAGATGAATTTCATAAATATTATAAATGTTGAATTTAAATTAATTACAATCTATTATATTTGCTTACTTCTTTTGGTTTTTTTTTTTTTTTTTTTTAATATTTTAATTAAACCATGTTAAAGCAGAATAAACACGCTTAATAAGGAAATTTTTAATTGTTTATGCAATAATAATACAATTCTTTTTTATTTAAGTACAGGAACACAGTTATTTATTATACTATAATATTAAAAAATAATTACATATATTTTAAAAACTAATTAAATAGTTACTAAGTGGAATTAAAAATAAATATTTTTGCAAAGTTATTTTTACTTAATTTTTTTTTTGACAGGTAGTTGTTGTTAAGAAAGTTGGTGATCCCCTTGGTATTATGCTATTAGAATCAGGATGGGGATCAATGTTACCAACTGTCTTTGTTGCGCATATAGCTAATTACTCTGCTACTGCTCAATGTCAAAAAATATCTGTTGGGGATCATATACTTGCTTGTGATGGAACAAGTTTAGTAGGGTTATCATTATCTGAATGTACTACCATTTTAAAGGTTTGTTTTTAAAGCTGCTGTTGTTAATGAAATATGTATAAAAATTTAAGTCTTTTAGCTAAACTGTATAACTCAGGGTTTATTCGAGACCCTTTTTTTGGTGATGTGGGTTATGGTGTATTTGGGTGAGTTTTGGGCACCGTTGTTTTAATAAAAGGCATTGCTATAAATTACAATACTAAAAAATAACCTTATCAAGTTTATTTTAGAAAAGGTTTTTATTTTGTATATTGTTTGTATTTTTTATAGTTGTTTAAAATCTTTATAAAATTTCATTTTATTTGAAATTCAGTTTATTAAATGTTTTACTAATATATACAAAATAATATATTTCTATACATATGCATTTGTGTATAATTTATTTATAAAAAAAAAAAAAATTTTTTTATAATCATAGAATTTCTGATATTTTCTTGCTCAACGGTAAAAAATTATAAGCCTTTCATAATAAAAAGTTATTTTCTTTAATATTAAATTATTTTTTTCAATTGAATTTCAGAATTGTCGAAATAGTAATAAAGTAACATTTCGTGTTGTTACATGTCCTACAGTAGTGGATGTTGTTTTACTACGACCTGATGTTAAGTATCAATTAGGATTCAGTGTTCAAGAAGGCACAGTAAGTTATATTGCTTCAAGTTTTATTTAGGATTCATTATTTAAATCTTAGTTAAGATAAGTTAATAAATGTTTAGAACTGAATATGTATGTATTTAGCCATGCAGTATTTTCATGTGAAAGACATTTTTTTAATTTTATTTCAGTTTAAATTTTAAACCTGCTGGTTATAAACCAAGTGTTTTATCACTGTTCTACTATTGTACAATTGCCTTAGTGTCCTTTGCAGCCTTACACCCCTCGCAGACTTGTCGGTTTTCCGCCAGTTATTGCAGGAGAGAGGTGCTTTTACCATAATTGATAAACTAGTGTAATGTTTCAAATCTTTTGTGGCTTCTTAGTTGCACAAAAACATCTTTTGAACTAAAAAATCAATCAAATATGTCAGTGTTTATTATAATTTAATTACTTTTTTGAGATTGGATAATGACTAAAGTATTATGGTTAAACCGATTATTGATATTTTTTACCCAGATTGAGTTCATTTTTTATTTGTATCAGGTTAATCATGACCATGTTTTCAACAAAGTAGCGGAAAAGGGGCAGCTTTAAACATTTTTTAAACTTTTTTATTTTTACAAGTTAGAGTTCTTATTTGTTCAAATCTGCCACAACCTGGGGTAATAAAGCTACCCCAACTTTGAATTTAGCTTTGAATTTGCATGGGGCAGTTTTGAAACATTACCAGTAAACAAAAATAACTTAGTTTTATAACTTAGTTTTTTTTAATTAACTAGATGTACACTACATGCATATTTTCATTCTCACATATTATATCTGTTTTAGCAATTTAATATTTGATATTAATTTTTTTAGCTAAGTTGCTGCTTTGAGAATTTTTTAATTTCTCTGGGGTTTAACTTATTTTTTAGCTTTGTTTTTCTAATGGCATTCATTTTCTGAATTTTTTTAGTCATGCAAGAAACCATGAATTCATAATAATGCGCCACCACTTACGCAATAATGCAGTTAGCTTGGGACTTTTTGGATCAGAATTAGGATTAAATTTCATAATTTTTCTTAATTCCATAGTTAAAAAAACAAAATTAATTACCAATAATGAGGTCAAAAAAAGAACTACTCTCTAATAGACATTTATTTGCTAAATGCATATGGTTGTCAGATGTCCGGCTTTTAGGAAGGAAAATACAGTGCCAAACCGATAAAAATAAATTTTTTAACTGTTCTTCTTCATAAAAGTTGGACATCTGGCAACCCTATGAATACAACAAATTTGTTTAGTAAAAAAATATCAACTTAAATTACTTTCTTATTAGTTTGGCTTTGAACAGTTTTGCTTAAGTTTTTGATGTTTAAAGTTTTGGAATAAAAAGTTTTACTTAAAAATTTTTTAAGTCTCTTTAAAATAAGGATCAAAGGTATCCTATTCATTTTTCTGCCTCTATGGCGTTTTGAAAAGTAAATGCTTAGGAAAAAAAATATGTTTTTTAAAAATTTTGTGCTTTATTGTAAACAGTATGGCAAACATTGTGTTATTTATTATATTCTATATAATAAATAACACAATGTTTGCCACTTGTCAAAACTGGAGTCAAGAAAGTCTTTTTTTTTAATGTTTAAAAGTTGTACTTATAATTTTAATTTAATTAATTTTAAATACAAACAAACCAATCATTTAAGTTGTTCATTTTATCTCAAAACAAACCAATCATTTAAGTTGTCCATTTTATCTCAAAACAAACCAATCATTTAAGTTGTTCATTTTATCTCAAAACAAACCAATCATTTAAGTTGTTCATTTTATCTCAAATTTCAGCAAGTGACAGCTGTGAGGATAAGTGTTGTCTTAACAATGTAATTCTTTATACTTAATTTAGATATACGCACACTTCATAAAACATTTTTTCAAAGCTGCTCCTGTTTTTTCAGAGCTGCCCCCTTCTTTCCTACTCATATATTATATAAGTTACACATTGTTTAACTGATAAATATTGACCACAATTTTTATTTCTAAAAACCATGGTCTGTACAATCAGTCAAAGAAGAGAAAGTTCTTTCGATTTTTGAAATTTTGGTTTATTTTGAAACTTTGCTCTAAATGCTACAGAAGCTCCTCAATGTGAATTAGCTTTAAAATACTTTTTTATATCTTAAAATATCTTCCAAACAAAGTAGTTTCCATAGCTACATTAAGAATAATTAAGGACTTATTGAATCCTTCTTTAATGTTGCGGTGCATAGTTGTCAAACTATAGGCAAAAAATATGAAGAGTAAACAGTGAAAAATAATTTAATTCTATTTAAAGAAATTTGTACACAATAAATGCTTACAGATATTCAAAGAAAAAAATTAAATAGGTATTAGAATAGATTTTTGCTATAGAAGTCAACTATAAGCAGGCTAATGATATTTGGAAAAAAATTTTTAATGATTAAGCTATTACAGAAATGCAAAAATAATTAAAGCATTATAAGGTTGCATACAATTAATATAAGGAGTATGCATTGAAAATGAGCATTTTGTATTGAGAGTTTGCAGGTATATATCCAATTAAGCTGAAATAAGTTTTACCTAAAAGCTAAAACCCTAGACTGCAAACATAAGTCAAATCTCAACTGCCTGCAGGTAAAAACGTTTTAATCCAAAATTTTAAAAAATGACTGAGTTCGTGATTACCAAACTGTTTTTGCAGGGAATTCTTATACTTTACTTCCACTGCGGCATTACTTAAAGAAGATCCATACCAGACACAGAAAGAGCTTGCAGAACAATTGGGAGTTGATTAATCAACAGTTTCTGGGCACTTGAAGCAACTGGGAATGATTCAAAAGCAAGGAAATTGGATGCCGTATGAGTTGAAACCGAGAGATATTAAAAAATTTTTACCTGCAAATAGCTGTTTGTGTGACAAAAAAGAAAAGGTTTTCTGTAATTGTTACTGGTGATGAAAAGTGGATATGTTACTACAATCCTAAATGCATAAAAACATGGGTCAAATCCAGCAAGCAATCAACCTCGAAAGCAAAACGGAATATTCATGGTTTCAAGCTCATGCTCTGTATCTTGTGGGACCAGCTTGGAATAATATGTTAAAAGCTGCTTAAACCAAACAAGACGATTACAGGAGATCATTACCAATGACAATTGATCAACTCAGCCAAGCATTAAAACATAATCAAAAGCATTAAAACCTTATCATGTCTTTAGGACATGATAAGGTTATTCTAAAGGCATTATAAGGTTATTCTTCAACATGACAACGCACAACCTCATGTTCCAAATGTTGTAAAAAACTACCTAAAGAACCTCAAAAGTGAAGTCCTACCCCACCCTCCATATTCATCAGACATTGCCCCCTCTTATTACCATTTTTTTTCTGGTTGATGACACTTGACCTGGCTGAGCAGTGTTTTTCTTCTTATGGCGATACCAAAAAATGGTTCCATAACTGGATTGCTTCCAAAGACCAAGACTTTTTTCAGCATTGAATTTGCATCCTACCTGAAAGATGGTAGATGCCAATGGACAGTATTTTGAATGATCTGAGTCTGATAGTCTTTTCAAAATTAACTGGATTTTTACAAAAAAAAACATTTATTTTCAATCCATTCTCCCAATATAATTGAAAGTATACACTAAATGCTAAAATATAATATATATTAAATATTTTAGTATATACTAAAAAGTATATACTGCAGTACATACAAAATAGTTTATCACAATTTTATCTACTTATATTCTGCAGTTGAAAATAAATGTTGTCAGGCTTGGTCGGGAAGCGGGTGCAATGGCACTTTTCCCGACTATGCATATAATATTTAGTTGCAACAACTTGACCACAGCTTTTTAAATGTTTAGAGAACATTGAAATTTATGCATGTTTCCATTTCCAAAAAAGTAAGTTTCAATACACTATGAAAGTAAAATTTATAACATTAATTTTTTGTAATCAAATGTTTTTATATTAGCGAAACACCTTTAAACAAAGCGACGATTTACTTTTATTGTTTGTTTATTAACCATCAACATTGGTTAATAATCAATTAAAAATATTTTAAAAGTTTTACAAAGTTGAGTAAGATTTTTTAAAAGTTTTAGGTGACTGAACACAAACATACATATATATATATATATATATATATATATATATATATATATATATATATATATATATATATATATATATATATATATATATATATATATATATATATATATATATATATATATATATATATATATATATATATATATATATATATATATATATATATATATAGTAAATTACGATTGGATGAACAACACATCAGAGGTTTAAACAAAACACAAATATACATTTATATAAAGTATTTTTTGGCACTGCACCAGAGGTTTATAAAGAACACAAACATAAATATATTAGTAAGCCCACTCACTAAACATCATCAACATTATTGTGAAGAGCAGTTCTGCTTCCTTTTCAAATTTTTTTTTTGCCTTTTCAGTTTAATCATAAAAGTTTGCTTTCAAATAAATTGATGCAATAAAAACTTCCTTTTAGTATGCAAAATACAAAATAACATTATAATTCTCTTAGAATGTAATATGCCCCTCATATATTAGTTTATAATATATATTATAGTATAATAAAGCAATGGATTAAACGTTTTAAACACTATTAAAAGAAAAGATATAATTATTTCTTACTTGAGAAGAATTGTTAAATATTTTAAACTTTGAAAACTAAACAAAGTATGAAATGATTATAAAAATGTATTTATTATTTAATTCAAGTAGCATTAGTTTTATTAGAATCTTGTTAAAATAAAGCATAAATACATAAATAAAGAATTATATTATACTCTTTGTAAAAGTTTGTTTCCTTATTAAACATTAGAATCTTGTTGAAATAAAGCATAAATACATAATACTCTTTGTAAAATTGAGAAACGTTTGTTTCCTTATTAAACAATCATTATTAGTAAGTTGTTACTTTATATTAAAGAGTGTTGCTTAATTTTATAAAAAAATTATAAAAGAGAGAAGTTTAGAAATAATTA